ACACACATATATATATATTTATATGAGTATATTCATCAGTATTTATATATAATAATGGTTTAATCTTCGGAGGCATGCAACTCAAGGCCGACAGCCCCACTGAATGGGGCTGTTCGCGCGAGTGAGCATTTGTGCTTAGATACAAGAAAAGTGTACGTACACATAAGTAAATGCATGCTGCTACTTCGAGTGTGTGAGGGATCTACCATCCACCCGATATATGTTCGCGTGGTTTATTCGGCATGTGTTGGTAGTATCAGAGCATGTAAGAGTGTGTTTAGTCCCAGGATGCCTTGTAGACAGTAGTGTACCCCCTGCTTAGGCTACAGCACACTATATCACCTGGAAATGTCACAATAACTCCTACTGTAGGATAAATACTTCGGCCTGAGCTATATAAGACGAATAGCGATCACGAGTAGGGCCATGAAAACCATGAAAACCCGAATGTCTTGACACAAGCTGTGATATATTGCAATTAAAGCCATGAGGCTGAACGAGTGCTGGAAGGAACAGTTGCCACAGGGCACCGACTGTCATGGCTGGTCACAGCCAGTTGCAGCCGAGATGTCCAACAACACCATTATCAACACAAACCTTTCCCATACACCCACCACGCTTACACGTATAGTCTATCCAAACTTGAAGAACTCGCTATCACCATACAGACCACCGCTAATCAAACAAAACAGCCAGCACAGAATACTAGTCCAGTTTTTCCCAGCAACAACATGCATACGCCTACCTCGGATCATCTGCTTCTTTGGACGACGGTAGTGTTGTCTGTTGAGAGCTGTTTGTGGGAAAGTGTCCTTCTGCATGGCCTGTGTCAACTGTCGGCGCATGCTCTGCTGCAACTCAAACAACTGCAACGCACGCAGCTCAGACACCACCGCTAGCTTGACGGCTGAGAACAGGACGAGAGAATGTGTACAAGTCTGCACGAGTCAGCTACCAAACATCAATGTAAATATCAAATTGTATGTAGAGGATATTGTATGTGTAGTTGACCAAATGGCGCAAGAGCGGTAGGCTCTCTAGTTATATGTTGGTTTAGCTGGGTATGATACTATACTTTCTTTTTGTTATATGCGCACGCATAGAGCAATCTCTATATAAATAAACAAACGTCTCAGCAATCCATCTAAGGACACCAGCGTGGCGGACCTACACTTCCAAGAATAAAACCAATTGACATGCTATTATATATATATATATATATATATATACATGAATACATAGACACGTACATACATACATGCACACACACATATATATATATATATACATATACATATACGTATATTGCGAAAGCATGTGTGGCCGCAGGTGAATGCCACGTGTGTGAGTATCTGTCATATGCCTGTGCTGAACATCCCAGCACCCTGCGTTGACTGTATCCTATAGCTCACACACAGCTCCACATCTATGCTTGGAGGATGACATATCCATAAAAACCATAAATTGATCCATGGCTCACACACAACGGATCATCCACACGTACGGTATACCACAGGGGCAGAGAGACTAGCATATCCTCCAAATACAACCATTGACCCAACACTCATACACAACCCGCTATGTCTTGGCCAGCCTGCATACCAGGAGGCAGATAGGCTGGCATGCTCTCCAGTTGCTGCCGGCGTTGCGACATGCGCTGTGCAATGGTTTCGTTTCTCACTCGCGCCAGTGTGAGCGGGTCCACGAGACTCTGCGTTCATTAGCAAGCGAAGCAGGCAAATGTGAGGATGTGTCTATGGAGGAACGTGTTTGAGTAGTCATGCTTGGGCATCTACGCGTGTATGTAGTTGTATACAAATATACAACCGGAGTCGTCCTACAGGTTGATCTTTGTGATTTATTCGCTTGGTATCAGGATGCAGCTTGCAGCGCTGATGATTCGATATAAGTTGAATATACAAGGTCTCATACAAAATAGAATTGCAGCATATGACACGGAAGAAGCGCATTCAAATAATGTATGTAATCGTAGTAATGTAAAGCCGTTCAGACCGCCAACGCAACACGCGTCACTAACTAAACTACAGCCCACATATCGTAATTGTGAAGGAATGTATACTACCACTCTGGCAGAAGCAAAGGTGTGAGTACCTACAGCGTCTATAATTCCAACACATACCTACACAGAAACAATACTGCAATAAGTGGTTTATATATAGACATGTACACATCTGCACATATTCATTCACATACATACACGCAAACACATTCAGGCATAATATATATATATATACATATATATATATATATATACTATATATATATATATACATATATATATATATATACTATAACAACACACACACTACACACACACACACA